TGAATCTGAACAAACGGGGAAAAAAAAAACTCAACTGTTTCTTTTGTTTTCGTTGTTGCGCATCATCTGCGTATACACAGAGATGTTCATAGCACCTCCTGCTGGAGAGTGATGGGAACAGTCACCTGCTGCTGCTATCACATGACAATGGCATGGCAGACATTCCTGTCATGTGCTAACGTAGCATCTACTAATAGCGCTGCCACCTGAGCGGGTCAGAACCTCCGAGCACGACAGTGTTTTTTTTTTTAAATCTTAAAGTAACAATAAGTACTGAGTACTGAGACGAGTATCTGATACAGAAGTAAAACATCGGTGATACTTTATTCTGTGATTATTGTCGTCTGAAAGATGTAGCTGCGGCCGATTACCTAATGACCCTGACCTGTAACTGATCCACGGACCAGGGGTTGGGGACCCCTGGGTTTGGTGGTGATCGAACTTGGTTTACAAAAAAGTATTTGTGAAACTGTTTGTTGTTAATATAAATAGAACCGATGGTGTTTGGTCACATGAGATTATATTGGTCGAACAAAAGAAACCACGAAGTTACCACAAAGACGAGTGAAAGAAAAGTCGTAGGTTATAAAAACAGTGAAGTTTCAGGGAGAGTTTACAGTAACTGGAATTATAAAAACTGCAGTAAGAACCAAAACTGCACAGACGGACATTTCACTCCATCCTCTCATAAAAAAACAGTTCAGTAACATCCGTTTTTAGGAAGAGTCTAAAAAGTAAACCAGGAATAAACCAAAAAAAAAGTTAAGAAAGAGTCGACAGAGTCGAGGAACTAATCAGGTTTTAGGACGACATGTGACACGTCAGTGTGTCCTGGGAAGAATCTGAGACAGCGAGGGGTCAGAGAAGGTATAAATATATATCATGGAAGCAGTGATGGAGGAGAAGACACAGGAAGTGGTTGAAAACTGAACACAGAGTCAAAGCTGCCTGGTGTTGTTTTAGTTTTAGATCAAAACTAAAACCCCGGCCTTTAAAGGACTCTGTGTTTCCATGAACTTTGTTGTGCCAGAATCAGCGGAATCGAACCCCTGACATTCAAAGCGCGGGGTCATCTGAGTCTCTGTTCCCCAGGCATTCAGGTGTGGCCTCTCTCTGTGAGGAAGACGATCTCCACCGTGGCATGTCTTCACCGGGCGTGTCGACGTGTGGTGAATGTGACCCTGACCTGATTCTGTTCAGACTCCGGGTTTGAACCCCAGCCACCGTGCTGCCAGTGTCAGACCTCATTGGGATCGAACAACAGGAAGTTGGCGTCCAGCCGTACCACGGTCCGATCCCCGGGCCGATCCCCGGGCCTTCTCTTTGTTGCTGGTACGACTGATCTGACGATAAGTCGAAGTCGAGTTGACCAGTTGAGATTTTCTTAGTGATTTTCTCTTGACCCTGTGACAGTTTCCTCCTCCATGACGGTCCGACCGCCAATCCCCTCGTCACGTGGACGCTAATTTATTCCCTTCTAACCGCCTGTTACCAAAGATGGTCGGCCTGGTGCGTTCTTCTTCTGAGCAGAGGAACTTCAGTCCAGACAGTCCACAGTAACCACCATGAATCGGTTTTTCTCTCTGTACCAAAGATGGTCGGCCTGGTGCGTTCCTCAGAGCAGAGGAACTTCAGTCCAGAAAAAAAAATGTACTTTCACCTTCTGGACTCGAACCTCTAACGTTGTGTCCCATCACCGATGGTAGTAAACATTTTTTAATGAATTGTAAAAGTCGCACAAAGTTTTTACAGAAATATCCAAAAGTCAGAGCTCGAGCAACAAACACTGGGAGCAACAATTCTGAGACTAAAACCCAGTTAGCATTTCCAACAAGTGTCGGAAAAACAAAACAAAACATTTAAAAAGTGGATCAACACGTCGGTCAGTCGTTGCAAACAAATCATTTTGGCGCTAACAAAACCACCACAGTTCGGTCGCTCGATGACCAAGAACGGACATGAATTACACAACTCTGTGGTAGAGGGCGCCGTCGTCTAAACTGTTAACACTGCGGTCGGACAGTTTGAAACAGCGAAGAGAGAAATGTGCTGCGGCGGCGGCGGCGGCGGCCGTTAACTGACGACGAGCGAAGCCGAGGCCGAGGCTGCAGTGAGTCAGAGTGTGGGAAGTCATGAGTTTGGCACCGGGAATGTCAGCGTGTTTTCTGGAGGGGGAGGAGAAGTGTGTGTGTGTGTGTAGTACAGTGGACAGAGCAGCCTGGAGCCGTTCACTCTGAGAGAAGGACTGAAAGTTCCAGCTCTTTAACCCTGGAACTGTTGGAAAGTTCTGTACGGGTTAAATCTGGACAAAAACTATGGTCTAAATGTGTTGGGGGGGGAACACATTTACCTTTTGCCTTACGGCAAGAAGATCACCTGTTCGATCCCCAGTTGTATCTTAGGTCAGTCTGTACGGAACCGTCACGTTTTCTTCAGGTCCTTCATCTTTATGGCTAACGTTTTAAAGCTAACGTCAGGACGTCCACATTTCAACAAACTTTTTCAGCTGTTTTACATTTGTTTAAATGTAATTTTGATCATTTTCACCTTTTGATGTCGACATTATTTTATGTTGAATTTTTGGGCTACTCTTTTTTTTTTTAGCTAACTTGAAATCTCTTCTTTAGTTCCTCAAAATTAAATATTAACGACACTTTTTTTCATCAGTGCTTTATCAAACTTCCATGATGTGAACGTTGAAAACTATTTCAAACATTTGAGGCTCAGTTTTTATCAACTATCGACAAATCATGTGCGACTCTAAGTTGGGGGAGGGGCGGGGGGGCGGGAGGAGAGCGTCATCAGCGTACGGTTTAACGCCTTGACTGACTTTTAACAAACTCTGTGAACCAAAGCAAACATCGGGAACCGCGGTCGTGTCTCCCACCTCCCACCTCGGTGCTGGACGTCCTGCTGTTCTGCCTGGTCAACTGAATGTGGCGTCTGTGCTCCTGGAGGAGTGTGATTGGCTGCTCAGATACGCTCGGCGTGAGAGGACAACAAAACGTCCCAGTGTTCCGTCCACGCGGTGCTGGAGCCGGGATATAAATAGTACCGGTTCTCTTCACTGGGTTTGATCCAAACTTCAATACAACATGCCGCCTTTGATGTGAGGCATCGGTGTGTGTGTCTGTTGCTGGTGCAGCTATACTTGTGGGGACACCGTGTTTTGTGGGGTCATTTTTGTGGGTCCAAGATTTAGTTTGGACTTTAGAGTTTCAGATTAGAGTTTTATGGTCTTAGACTCTGAACACGTTTTCTGTGACCCTGTGTTTTGTCTCCGTATTCACACATATGACACGTGATGATGATGAAGATGATGAAGATGATACGCTCAAATATTGCTGTCAAATATTTTGTAGTACATTTTTTCTTCATAACAAACTGTTACTACGAACTTCACTTTTGTTATAAAGTTCTACTTAACTAAACTCATTTTTAGCTAACGTGTGAGTGCAGTTAATGTTCAGGCTAACATTTAGCTGTTTTGTGACAAACCTGTGATTAATATGAACCACAGCTGCTGTTCCAGAAATAGCCCCCGCCCCCCGTTTTTGTTACTGCAGTTACCGACTGTACTGTCGTCCTGTTTTTTATGCTGAGCTAACTCTTAGCTGATGTCGACGGTAGCCTCCCTTTGAGATATCTGGGCTGCTTTTACTCCCTACATGGACTGAATGTCTCAGTTTGACACTGAGATGTGATTGGACAACTGGAGTCTCCTCGTCCTGTTGGAATTTGGTCAAAGAAACTGAAACAAAACGAAAGTGAAATCTGTTCACAAACGCAGGAAGGAAGTGATAAGGTCAGAGGTCAGGGGTCACTGAGTCATTAGGCCTTTAAACTAGTCTG